TTCAGAATCAGAGCTGAAGACGACTCCGTTTCAAAAGGAAACTACTCTTTGTTGGTCTTCAGAAACAGAGCTGAAGACGACTCTGTGTCAACAGGAAACTACTCTTTGTTGGTCTTCAGAATCAGAGCTCACCTTGACCTCGGCGCTGAAGCTCTCTCCCTGCCGGCCCTGGTCCAGATCCCTGAGGCTCTCCGTGGCCTCGCTGGCCGAGTCCACTCCCAGGAACCAGAAGTTACAGCCGTAGATGTTCCGGACCGACCAAAGGTCCCCGACCTCCTGCGGCGCCGAGCCGTCATCATCAACATGCCGGCGCGTTGTCATGGCCGCCGTGATCGTCATCACCGTGTTCAGGATGAACGGGGAGATCTGCAGGAAGAGGGGTATCATGTGACCTGTTGCTTATCGTGTGATCTGTGTGATCTCTGTTTATCATATCATCTGTGGCTTATCATGGGATCTGTGGCTATCATGGGATCTGTGGCTATCATGTGACCTGTCTGGGTTTATAAACACATTGTAAAGATGTGGACGATGTACCTTCAGGACGACTTCCTCCACCGTCACACAACCGCTCAGCGGTTGGTTGGGCACTGTTTTGGTCTCCAAGGCGACCGAGCAGGGTCTCAATACCTATTGGACAGAAATCTGCAGGTGAGTTGGGCTCTGATTCAATCCTCCTGTCGGGTCATATCTGACAGATATACTACTTTCATCAGAAGTATTTTGTTTTACTTTTGATATCTTAAGGCTTCACGATTTTCTCCACAGTAGACATTTGAACATATAAATTACTGATCATCACTTTCATTGTATCTTTTTTTTGGTCACTTTGTAACACCTATGACTCCATAGGAAATTAATGGTAACCCGAGATTCTGTTGATCCATCAGATAGTACACACAAACAAATCAAAATGTTGATTTTGGAAAACATTTTCAGCGCCTATTCTTTGTATATTCACTGCAGTTATTCATGTTAACCAGTGAGACATTGGTTACAGCTTTTAGGGTGTAGCAGTAAGCCACATCAGGGGCAGCCGTTTAAATCTGGTAATATAGAACAGTGGTTCTCAAATGGGGGTACGCGGACCCCTAGGGGTACGTTGGAGTACTGTAGGGGGTACGTGAGATTTATTTTATGTTAAAGAAAAAAAAAAAAACAGTTACACATATTTCAAAACGCAAAGTGTAATAACTGCAGGTTGCCTCCCTGTCAGAATGACAAAGATCCTCAGTGAAGCTCAAGCCCAAGCTTCTCACTACATTGTAAGGACAACTTATTAAAAAGATCAGTTCAATGCAACTAATGTCGTCTTAGTGTTATTGCATGATGTTAAAATTGGTTTGCCATGAATTTAGTGAT